AATTCAAGTGTTTGAAAAATATGGACAAATACGGATGATATACTTGACACCTAGATGTAAAGAATATATATTTATTTTTGCAATTTCATAGCTGAAAAATTAATAATTTTGCAATTTTAAATACTTCATCAAACATTTAAAAGTAAAATTATTCTAAAGTGATAGCGTTCATATAGACTTCTAAATTTTGCGATTTTGTTATTTCTATAGACTCCTAAACTTTTTCGTTGCAAAACTCGAAACTTTTGAGCCCTAAATATTTTTCAATGTTGAAACACTTAAATGATGAAGTAATTCAACATTAAATTTCCAAGCCCTTTTACTTATGAACATCATACTAATGGGCATCATACATCATCATCATACTGATGGGCATATGAACATCATACTTATGAAGATCTAAATGAAGATCTAACTAAATATTCTTTTTTTAGCACCGCACCCTTAAGTCTTTTGAAACTTGTACCGTGTACAACTTTAATTACCCTTTCGTAACTTACAGGATTTCTTGGTCCCAAGCCACGGTACGAAAAGCATTGAGGACGGTAAATGTATCCGAGATCAAAGGCTTTTTGCACTTTGCAGCGTTAAAAAAGTGCACTTTGCAGCGCTAAAGACCCTTTAGCGCTTTGATACTCTAATTCATTGTTTCGTTCATTATCAATAACTTTCTATCCTCTGAGTTTTTTTCTGGCCTTTTTCCAAATTCCTGCAATCTTCTAACCCCTTAACCATATAAACTATCGCTCATTTAACACTTTAAACTTTTGTGCCCTTACCTTTATAAGCTATCACTCTTCTAACCCTTTAAACTTTGGTGCCTTTACCCTTATAAACTATCACTATTCTAACCCTTTAAACTTTTGCGACCTTAACCTTATAAGCAATCAACCTTTTAACCCATTAAACTTTCGTGCCTTTAACCCTTTAACTCTTCAACCCTTCGCTTTTTAACCTTTTAACCCTTATTCTAAAGCATTCAAGAGCAAGGATACTCTGATTTTTAAATAAATATCAAGACGGCGCTGGGAAGTTGCAGCGTTGCTTGCTTACTTCAAAAGATATCTGACGTTGCATCAATGTTGAATTCAACAATTTTTGTTGATTTAATGATAATTCTACGTTATTTCAACGTCACAGGCGTGATGCAGCGTCGTGACTAAATGTCGTGCATGCCATCATTTCTAGTAGCGTCGTGACGTAACGTCTTATAGCGTCGTGACGTAACGTCTTGTAGCGTCGTAACGTAACGTCTTGTAGCGTCGTGACGTAACGTCTTGTATCGTCGTAACGTAACTTCTTGTAGCGCCGTGACGGCTGCTGGTAGAAATAAAGCCTGTTGGGTTCATCAAAGTTTGTCAAGTCTATCAAAGTGTTAAATTTAATTCAAGTTTTGTCAGGTTCAATTAAGATTGCAGGGGTTCAAATATCATCACAGGTTCTCCGACTAATTAAAACGCGAAGCAATATCGTCATTTCATCAGTAAAAACGTTTCGGAGGCCAGCTCTATGGTAAAAAAATATTTTTCTTCGTTTTGAATATTGGTGAACTTGCGGCGATTACAGGAAAAGTATATTGAAAGATAATGACTAAAAATGATATACAAGAATATTATAACACACAAAAATGCCTGCGTGTCAGCATTGCCCTCAGTACAGCACGGGAGGCTGGCGGTTACTTGTGATCGCGTTTGGTTATGAACGTCGACGACGACGTAAAGGAACGCCGCTGCGTCGCGCGAAGCGTGCGTGATGTCACGTACAGGAGGGTGAAAGCTGCTGCAGTGTATGCAGACTTTGCAGTGCGTGCAGACCTTGCAGTGTATGCAGACTTTGCGGTGCGTGCAGACTTTGCAGTGCGTGCAGACTTTGCAGTGCGTGCAGACTTTGTAGTGCATGCAATGTGTGCAAATACCTGAGTATATATTGGCTTTTAATGTATACAGTGATAGGAATAAGCAGCGTATGGAGAATCTGTTGAATGCAGACTCTTGAGTGTATGCAGATTCTGCCTTATATAATTTGTATGCAGGCTCTGCGGTGCATAGGGACCACATGTACGTGGACCACGCTGCTCGAACGCGCTCTGCAGGATGAAATTTTCGATGTAACTTTGCTATTTCCACTTCAATGATTTCTATTCCAACGGAAGTTACTTGCAATGCAACCACTGCACTTGGCGGAATCCTGCAGAGCACTTACGAGGTCTGCAGGTCGCCAATGAGTATTAAAGAAGCGTGCAGCAGCCTGCAGGATCTTGCAGAGTCATGCAGAGTCCCACAACGTCATGTGCTCCGGCCGTGGACAGCCTTTTTCTAGAGAAACTCGGCCACTTGAACTGCTCAACAATTTCCTTCCTCCCATCACTACCCCACCTTCCTTCCCTTCGCCTTACTCCGACGCGTCCGCTTCTCCCCCTCCCATATTTATTAATCCTCAAATCCCTTTTCTCCCACTACTTTCTTTGCCTTTCTCCCTCGCGCCATATTTATCGTCCCCTCCCCCTCTCCTTTAACCTCTAAAATACAATTAAATCCCATCCAGAACAATTCAATTCATACAATTCAACCTCAACCTCGTCTGCGCTCAAAGAAATGGGCAAGACTTTGTCCAAACAGCGATGCACTTCTAGCCCTTGTGTGGGCCTCCTGACTAAGTTTAAGAACCATTTATTTTTCAACCCGGTGCCTTGGTCAGAATTGTAAATTAAAATTCAATACCATGCTGCTCTAATGAAAATTCAAGATTTGAACAATAAAGGTGACGTTAAAAATAGAAGAACGCACGGGAATCACTATTTGAAATGAAATGAATGATACCGAAACCACAACTAAGTTATTAACTTTAAAACAAAAACGTCGATAACTTTCCGTAATAAAAGAAAATAAAGAAATTAAACCGCGAAAGCAATACAACCGAAATCATGAATCAACCGGCAATAAATTGTAAGATCAATTGTCACGGGCACAAACTAAGACAGAAAATTAATTCCAAAAGCAATGACGAAACGAAAGATAAATTGGAAAACACTAAAATAAAGTAAAATAATAATCAAGGGTCTAGAGAGGCGGTCGTGAGGCAGCGATAACAGTTGCTTTGATAACAGGGTTCGTGAGGCAGCGATAACAGTTGCTTTGATAACAGGGTTCGTGAGGCAGCGATAACAGTTGCTTTGATAACAGCGGTCGTGAGGCAGCGATAACAGTTGCTTTGATAACAGGGTTCGTGACGCAGCGATAACAGCTGCTTCGTTAAGAGGGGTCACCGCCTACAGCTGCGTGACTCTATATAGACAGCAGGAAGCAGCATTAATCGGGGAACGGTTGAGCGCAACTGTAAATATTGCTGCGATAGTTTTTATCTCTTTGTGCAACTGTGAATGCGGCTGCTTAACTGTACTGCAGTTTCACGGTATCAACAGTTTACGTTTATGCGTTACTGTAAATGCTGCAGTGCAACTGTTAATGTGTTAATGCAAATGCACCTGCTGAACTATTAAACTTTACACATATTTCAGTAGAGAAAGCTGTTTAAATGTATAGGTGGTACTGAGATTAATTGAATCTGCGTATTTCTAGGCATTATTGTAGGGCTGACGATGGAGCTGCGTAACTAGATGTGGTTTACACAGCAAAATTGATACTACATGAATTTATTTGAGAGAATATGACAGTGCAAGGCGCTGCGGAACATTTTCCGATCCCGGATTGCTGCGAATGCATCAATATTACTGTTTGCATCGCTCAACAACTCTAGATGCTGCTGATGAATAAGAAAGCAGTTGCATGCCAGATTTGAACACAATAGCTGCACATAAGTAATATATTAAATTTTTACTGCAAAGCATTCAAAAGTTTGATTCAAACCACTATAAAGCAATTGCAATGTTCTCATTGGAACACATTTTGGGATTACCGTACATGTGTTTTGTTTAGATTTGATGTTACTCACGAGTTGTTATATTCCTTTAAGGTCCGTGTTATTTGTGACCGTGTATGCTGCAGGATTGACGTATTTATGCCATGTTATTTGTGACCGTGTATTCTAACGTATTTATGCCATGTTATTTGTGACCGTGTATTCTGACGTATTTATGCCGTGTTATTTGTGACCGTGTATGCTGCAGGATTGACGTATTTATGCCATGTTATTTGTGACCGTGTATTCTAACGTATTTATACCGTGTTATTTGTGACCGTGTATGCTGCAGGATTGACGTATTNTATTCTTTCAGTTGTGCACAATGTGCATCTAGCTACGTCGGTATGACCGCACGAGCACTTTTCACCAGAGTTGCCGAACATGCTGGAAGAAGTTTCCGTACTGGGCGTCCACTTGCTCAGCCGCCTCATTCATCAGTCAGACTTCATACAGAACAGTGCCCACTTGCTCCTCCCGTGTCCATCAATCAATTTAAAATTCTTTGTAACGCTAGCAGCCAAACCGATTTACGAATTTTAGAGTCTCTTTACATCCATAAACTTAAACCTAAATTGAATAACCAATCCAGCTCTTTTCCTCTTTCGATTCTAGGTCAATAGTTTTCCTTTCTTTCCTTATCATTTTCTAAATTTATTTACTAAAATTGATTTCCATGTATTTCCAGATGTATTTTACTAGCTGATGATGGGCATAGCCCGAAACGTTCTGTTTTATTTATCTAGGACTTCTATCCAGTAAAATGTTTTATGCAACTTTTTTGGTTTTAGCCTTTATTCTTAAACTGAGAAGAACTCCTCCAGATATTGACGTATTTATGCCGTGCTATTTGTGACCGTGTATTCTGACGTATTTATGCCGTGTTATTTATGACCGTGTATGCTGCAGGATTGACGTATTTGTGCCATGTTATTTGTGACCGTGTATTCTGACGTATTTATGCCATGTTATTTGTGACCGTGTATTCTGACGTATTTATGCCGTGTTATTTGTGACCGTGTATGCTGCAGGATTGACGTATATATATCGTGTTATTTACACGCTGTCGTCTTGTGCCGCAGATGCTGCAGCTGCTGAAGCTGACGTTGCTGCTGGGGCTCGCCCTCGCCATCGCCGCTCGTGAGTCGGAACGACGTAACTTACGACACGTAATGTAACGTACGACACGTGACGTAACTTACGACGCGTAATGTAACGTACGACACGTGACGTAACTTACGACACATAATGTAACGTACGACACGTGACGTAAGTTACGACATGTAATGTAACGTACGGCACGTGACGTAACTTACGACATGTAATGTAACTTACGACACGTGACGTAACTTACGACACATAATGTAACGTACGACACGTGACGTAACTTACGACACATAATGTAAGGTATGACGCGTGACGTAACTTTCGACATGTAATGTAACGTACGACACGTGACATAACTTACGACATGTAATGTAACGTACGACACGTGACGTAACTTATGACACATAATGTAACGTACGGCACGTGACGTAACTTACGACACATGATGTAACGTACGACACGTGACGTAACTTACGACACATAATGTAACGTACGACACGTGACGTAACTTACGACACATAATGTAACGTACGACACGTGACGTAACTCACGACACATAATGTAACGTACGACACGTGACGTAACTTACGACACATGACAGAACCTACGACACGTGACGTAACGTACGACATGCGAGATAACTTACGGCACGAGATGTCCCTTACTTCGTATTCTTAACTCCAACTCTAACGCATGCGACGATTAAATGCTCTGTTGTAGAGAGACATCGAGTGTGTGATAGGCTCATCGTGATTGTGCAATCGCGTCCTCTGGTGTAATTTTAACACATTTTTCTTAACTCAGCTTCGTGTTTGTTTGTTTGTTGATAAAATTGACAACGAAAATTAGCCCACTTCTGATTGCTCTAGAGATCTGAAATTCGGCATGCAGGCTATTTTCGCTTAACAATTTCAGATACAATCATAGAAACTAGCCATTAGAGACCTAAATTAGCTTAATTGAGTAAAGTATAAATATATAATATATATATAGTATGACATGCGGGCGCTGACGTTATAGACGAACAGGCGCTGACGCTGCGTATCATCGATACGTACGTCAAGTCATACTTAATCAAGTCATAAGATATAGTAGAAAATAAAGTATATAATATAAAAAACTTTTTAAAAACCACGTTTTTCTTGTGGACTAAAAAGTAGAAAATAAATTATGGCTTGTCCCAAAAAATGTGTGTTGGGCTGTACGTTCACCATCAAATTTCCAAAGTTCGTGTGTTGTGTGCTTTTCGCTTTAATCATAAATCTTCCCGACACACGTTTTTTGGGGCAAGCCATAATTTATTTTCTACTTTTTAGTCCACAAGAAAAACGTGGTTTTTAAAAAGTTTTTTTCAAGTATTTTATTTAATTTTAATTTGATTTATCTTGTGTGATTTTATCTTATCTATTTTGATTTAATCTAATATAATTCGGTGATTTTACAAGAAAAAACCGAGTTCCCCGAGGTAGCGGACTGGTTGGTGAAGACAAAAGTCCGTGTCCAGAACTGGCCTTGACGAGGACGGGTTCTCAAAAACACGGAATGAACATTGCAGTTTCTTCTTTGGAATCACACATTTTCCTCTGAACTCCCCGATCTATTCTCATAACCTCTACCTCTTCCTAATTCTTCCCTGAAGACATACATCCCATTCTTAATCCCAACTCCTCATTCCATTCTAAAATCTTCCTACTATTCAAAATCTTTTTCCTATTCCTACACTAATACCGCTGGTCCTAAACTCTTTATATTATTCCTACACTCTTACCTTTATCCCAAATATCCAAAAACTATTCATCTTATTCATAAACTATTATTTTTTCCAAATTCTTCTCCATATTTCTAAACAATTCCAACCATTTCACAAACTCTGGCTCCAATTTCTAAACTTTTCCTCTTATTTATAACCTTTTAATCTTATTTCTGTACAGTTCCCACTATTTTTGAACACCCTATCCATAACTATTCATCTACGAAGTTCCTCAAAGTCACTATTCTTCAACTCTTCTTAGATTTGAGTTCTGAAAAAGATATACTCTTTGAGCATAGCTTTACCGAGGCTCTCTCACAGAGTAGACTAGTGTTGGAAGGCATCATCATTAATTTGTTCACAATATCTTCATGAAATTCTTCTTCACCCGTTGTTTAACGGGACACCTCATTTATGTCTACCAGAGAATTTTCTTTGTAGTGTTTGCTGTAAAGTGTTTCCAGAGAACCATTTTTCCGGTTGTAATGCTGGAATGCGCGGCTTGACAAATCAAGATCCATGCAAAGTCTGACCCCCTGGCAACACCGACATTGGTATTGACTGGGTCATATCCGACTCAGCTATTACTATTTGATTTTTTCCTACGACTACTACTATTTGCTTTTTTCCTACGTTTTCCCTTTCCCATTTTCCAGTTTAAGTTAATTGGATCTACAAAACAAGCTAAGAGATATGATATCAAATTGTCTATTTCAACAGAGCCTTCAGATAGGTTACTTAAAGTACTTGGTGAAACCCGCGTGGGTCCTCATAAAAAGACCAACGACCTTAAGATCCCCACCTATACTCCACTGGAAGTTGTTGTTCTTAATATATTCTAGAAGAAAATTCCTGTTGACATAAGAATTAATTGGACAAAGTTGTGCAAAAGGAATGCTGAAATATTTACTTCCGTTGAGCAGAATCCGTGTCGATGTATGATTAAATATGAACTGGAGCCCAGTCTGATAAATATGCATAATGTATTACTATCACCTAAATTTAGTAGATATTAATTAAAACAAAATCCATGGTGTCGCATTATTACAATAAACCTTGAATGCACTTGCATTTGTTTGTTATGGATAAAATACGACTAATGTAATACATCCATAACTAAAAATGTAGAGGCGATGAGTGAAAATAGATTGAAACGTTCAATTCAGCACCGTAAGTTTAATGAATAAGATATTTTTGATCCGTATAATTATTCGTATAAAATAATCCGTATAATTATTCGATACATCAGAAAAATGTTCTCCTAAATCCGAACGTAATACAGTGAACGCAAATGATAAGCTGAAGCATAAAAGAAAAACTGTTTTTCATAGTCTCAAGTTTTCCCCAGGGAATTCCTTTTTGTAGCATTTTTATAATCTTCTGCTGTTGTCCTCTTATTGACTCATTTTCAATTTCATCTTAATACTACCGTCTCAGAACGAAGGTGAATTGACTCAACCCACAGCATCTTTTTCAACCCAGAGGGTTCGTTGACCAAACTCTGCTGTTGTGTTCTACTGTTATGACAGCTCCTGAGTTATTCAACACGTTTTACCAGCTTTGTCGTGTACGAATAATTGTTTTCGTTGTTTGCGTCGTTGCAGCGCTGAAGGTCACAGCCCTTGTGCTGCACCCCCGAATTCCTGAAACAGCGCACCTGCAGTGCACCTACAGTGCACCTGCAGTGCACCTGCAGTGCACCTGCAGTGCACCTGCAGTGCCCCTGCAGTGCCCCTGCAGTGCACCTGCAGTGCACCTGCAGTGCCCCCGCAGTGCCCCTGCAGTGCACCAGCAGTGCATCTGAAGTGCACCTGCAGTACACCTGCTGCGCACCTGCAGTGCCCCCGCAGTGCCCCTGCAGTGCACCAGCAGTGCACCTGCAGTGCCCCGCAGTGCCCCTGCAGTGCACCAGCAGTGCACCTGCAGTGCACTGGGCAGTACACCTGCAGTGCACCTGCAGTGCCCCCGCAGTGCCCCTGCAGTGCCCCCGCAGTGCCCCTGCAGTGCACCAGCATTGCACTTGCAGTGCCCCTGCAATGCACCAGCAGTGCACCTGCAACCAACCAGCGGTATACTTGCAGTGAAGCTGTATAGCTCACTTGCAGAGCGGGCTTCCAGCTTTCAGTGCACCCGTTGCATACTTTCGGTGCACCTGATCAAACCTGCAGCACATCTTGCGGCGCCCTTGAATCGCAACTTCATTAAACCACTTGCACACCTGTAATGCTGCAGGTACAAAGCAGGTCCAATACTCTCGGCGGTGCCTGAGTACACATCCCCTGACATCGATGCAGGCAGCCGGCTGCTCGTTGAGCGAAGGGGTGACTCTAGAGTCTAGAGTGCACGACCCAAATGGCCATCGTAATCCACACATTATCCAGAACTCTGTCTTGAGACGTGTTTCTGGCTGCAGGAAGATAACTTCCGTTGATCACCACGATTTTGAGGCAGGTGTCATTTCACTGTCTGCACACCCGGATAAAACGTGTTCGCTCGTCACTCATTCTCTTCCATCGTTTCCGGTCACCCCAAGATAAACTCACCCCACGTTTATCCTCATTTGACCTAAGCGTAGGTTTCTTTCTAGTAGACGGCATCATGCCTGCCTGTTCCTATGTAGAGGCATAGCAGGTTCTTCGCAAGAAACTCCCTTCATCTCTACAGGCCCTTCCGAGAACCACAGGGTATTGACTGCACTACCCCCCAGAATCGCCTCCAAGGAATAATTGCTTTCCAGTCTCGACTATTGAGCACTGGCACAGCGCTTTGTTCGGTCCACTGCAACTCTCCAGCATCCAACTCATTGAGAGTAAGGCGTTCCCCAAGCGCTTTTTGTTATTGTTATAAGTTTTATTCCACGAAACAGTTATCATGGCGTCTGGTTCAAACGAACTTCGATGGCACGTTACACATACGTTTAATAGCAAGCGAAAAATAAATAGACACGAGAATGGATGAAAACGGATAAAAATGGCTAAGAACACGATTCATAGGCTCTACGAAATAGTTCTCTCTTTAGGTGTTGACGAAACACCTGCAACGATGGAGCCAATGTTACGGATGCCGGCAGACCAGGAACGCTCTGCCGCCGACGGTAGATAAACGAGTAAGTGGAACGACGAGGTCCGTTGTTGATGAAAAACGCAGTCGCCTTCTAAATCTGACACGCTCTGCAGAGCTTCCTTGAGATAAGGAGGCGCCAGATGATGAAGGCATCGGCGCGACTGGGCCGAACAGTCGCAAACTAAATAAAGTCGGTTTTTGATGCATTGAGCTGGAGCCAGTTGGAGCGCATCCAGTCTGAGACGGCATCCATGCAGACAGACATCCGAACCTGCAACGCTGCGGCGTCAGCCGGTGCACAGTAGCTACGAACTTGGTGTCGTCGGCGAACATATGCGGATTCAAACAATGTGAATCAATTATATGCAATGCGTTGACGGTACATAACAGGAAGAGGATCGGGCCGAGAACTGATCCCTGTGGTATGCCGCAAGTGACCAGCAATGACGTAGAAATAACGTTCCCGCGTGTAAGCGCGTTAGAATTTATTGTTGAGATAGGACTCGAACCACCGCAACACCGTGCCGTGCAGGCCAAATGAAACTTCAAGTCGACGCAATAAAGTGGCGTGGTCGACCGTGTCAAACGCGGGGCCGACAGGTCAAGTTAAGCCACTGCCGAAATGTCGCCACGTTCTAATGCTTGCAGAATATCTGAAAGCACCTTCAGCGTAGCGGTTTCCGTCGAATGGAGATGAAGGTATGCAGACTGGAGGCGAGGCATGAGACCGCACTCCTGAAGATGGTTGTTCTGCTGTCTGACCTCAACGCATTACGCATTCCAGGAGTTTCGACAAAATTGACAGGTTGGATATGTGTCGATATGATTTGGGATCAGAAGAGTGAAGGTCTTTTTTATCAATAGAGGCGTAATGTAAGCTGATTTGGAGTTCATCGGAACAACACCGTCAGTGAGGCAGCGGTTGAAAAGTTCGACCAGAAAGTTGCTAGGGTTACGACATTCTCCTTAAGTAACGACATCGGCAGCGGATCGCTGGTACTCTACTTGTTATGCATTGCTTGCACTTCAGCGATGACATATCGTCAGCTGTGACGAAAGTGAATTATTGGAGCCCGCAGTCGAACGGGCCCGGCGCAAATGCTGCCGGCGGAGCATTGGCAGACGACGTTCGTACAGCAGAACTTTTTTTTGAAAACCTGATGGAATTCCTCTACACGGACGTCACCCGGAGCATCTGTATGGCCTCTTCCCATAAGTGTATTCTGCGAACACTACAACGCTCGAGGGTCGTTGCGTTGCGCGTCAACCCTATTGTGACAAATGACTCTCTTTTACAACGAAGAAGGTCAACATAATTGCGCCGCGCATCTCGCCAGGTGGAGTCCACAACATCTGCAGCAGGAGGAATCCAGCGTCTGTTCGCCCGGTAGACAGCCCGCTGGGACAATTGATTCCTTCGCTTCAAGACCCGACATTCATCGTCGAGCCATGTTTCGGAGAGTCGCTGGGTACCTAAACTGTGCATGTATGAATGAAGTCATCGAGTGCAGAGGTCAGATCGGAATTGAGAAGTTGCAATAGGTCGTCGATTGATAGTTCCAACGATGAGTCAGGCCGACATAGACTGGACTTGGCCAGACATAGGCATCTATATCTGGCCGACATAGATGTTTTTGAGTGAGACATCTCCATCGAGACCGCTCCTCGGGCGACAGGTAACGGTTTGGTACGCTGGCACTGGGCGCATATATGGCACCATCCACTGAAGTAGCTGATGGTCGTATATTGGGATCTCGATGATGTCAACTGGTTGAAGTTGAAGGTCAGCACGCGTGATGACAACATTCAGCAAACCGCCTATGTTGTGCGTCGGCAAGGTCACGTGACAAAACATGCCAAAAGTGGACAGAAGGTCGTCCAGCTGATGAGCCGATGGGTCGTAGACGCGATCCAATCGATCGTTTAAATAGCCGGTGAAATGGACTTGCTTTGGGAAAGTCACAAGTTCGCTCTACTACCTGGAGTCCTTCAGCGCGAAGACGCGCGATGCAAACCGAGTCAGCCTATTGTCGTATGTCGGTCAGGAAGACGACACCTAGAGAGCGCGAACGACAGATGTGAAGAACTCGTCAACCTTGTTATTCAGCGAACGGATGTTGAGGCAGCCGAACGATAACCGGCGACACGGCTGAACACAGTGGCGATCAAAACGAACGCTGAGCAGGTTATGAGGCCTACGGATCGACACAGGCCGATGTTCAGCGGCATCATTCGCAGACGTATAAGAGTTCAGTGCAAACGATTGCCGCCGTAGCAACGGCCTATTGCCGGTGATGACGAAAACACCGTTGTCACGCACTGCTCGATAGCAATTCCACAAATAATCTCTTTGCCTGCGTTTCTTTTTACACGGCTTCTCGTTTCTTCTTTCTATAGGACACAACAGTAGTAGTGGCATACCTAATGACCATTTTCCATGTTTTTACACATTTCCACGTTGTACCGGCTGGTCTAAATTTGTAAAATACGTGGCCAGAGTGGAACATAAAAAAATATAACTCAGTACTCAGTGCAGTGAGTGACAGAGAGCGCATTTTCTCGTCGACGAAAACGTGAAGTCACGGACGGACGGACGGACAAATAGACGGACAGACGGACAGACAGACGGACGGACATGACGAGTACAATAGGGCATTTTTTCCTTAAATGAGAAAATGCGCTTATAATAACAACAAACTGTCGCTTACTTGCAGTGCACTAACAGCTCAACTGCAGAACCAATGCAGCTAACCTGCTGTGGATCTAATCTGCATACAATAATAACTTGGCAACTCACATTAGTTCCTTTGTCTAAATGCGACTATTGATTTTAGGCTGAGTTTCGTCTGAAGACATCTTCTAGGAAGCAGGAATTTACTTCTACTACACCATATAAAATGCGTTGATTACTCCAACCTCTTTTATCGGCATGTATCTGCTAAAATCTATATGTAATTTTTGAGTTCATCAGTTTATTGTTCTAAACTCTTCTTTAATATAGACTTTTACTTACCACAAATGTATGTGTTCACAGAAGACCCAAGTGACCGGGCTGTTCGTCGAGTGCTGGCCCGCAAACCAGGGTCTACACCCCGACGCAAGGTCAAGCCATCTGAGAACCAGCTGACAGACCCCACGCCTCCTGGCGAGAGGGTGGTCTGCTATTACACCAACTGGTCTGTCTACAGGTGAGGAGCCTTCGCTTTCAGGCCTGGCTGGTGCAAGCGGTCTGCAGTCCCAAAAATTGGCTCGTGATATAGCTCACTTGATAAAAAATCCTCTTATTTCCATAAATATTTAATTCTATTTCTATTTATTCGGTTTTAAATTTTTTTCATGATTATCGTGACTCTTCACTTACAACAGCCCTTTAACCAGCTCACTCCCTCCCCTCTTGCCCCAGGAAAGGCGTTGCTAAGTTCCTGCCCGGGCACATCAACCCCTACCTGTGCACCCATCTGGTCTACGCCTTCGCAGGCCTCAACGATGACTTCGAGATGACCACCTTCGACAGCTACCAGGACATCGATAAAGGTGACATTCATGGTTCTCATTGCTGGGGCATGGTCCCTTGACGTTGGGGGATACAGGTACTAATGGTACTACTGGGGGATACTGGGCGAGAGAACAGGTAGTACTAATGGTACTAATGACGAGGTCAAGCATGGCGGATATGGGGTACTAGAAATAAAGATTCGGGGTGACAATCATTTGTGTTTAATTAAGCTCATTATGTCGACAACAGTCAAGTTAATGAACATTTAAATTGGCATGTTCTGAGCAATAAATTACAATGAGTTTGATAGGTTCTACAGAGTACAGACAACATGCGTAAGCTCTCTTATTAGTCTCAGAAAGACAGCCCTCATCTTTTATAAATGTATAGGAAGTACATTGACACCAAAACCATTTACAACGCACAACGCTTATGGCTAAGATGAGGGAAGCAAGAGTGAGGCGTTGTACGAACTGGAGAGCGCATTCAGCTTCACCAGTGGCTGGCTCCAGGAAATAGAGCACTTTAATGAGATAATGGACTTGGGAATAGTTAATAATTCATTTTATAGAAATAAACTGTGTAGAATATTGAGTTCGATGGGCAAATATGGATTGATTTTTGGGAGATTTTGAAACGTTCAGCGGTGCTATATAGGTGAAAACAGGGCTAAGCGGTGCTAGGTGACAACAGGGTTCCGCGGTGCTAGATGACAACAATGTCCAGCAGTGCTAGGTGACAACAGTCAACAGGGTTCAGCGGTGACAGGACACAGTATTCGTGCATGTCTGATCTCATGACCCGCCCTCAGGAGGCTACGCGCAGTTCAAGTCCCTGAAGCAGCACAACAAAGCTCTACGTAACCTGATCGCCGTGGGCGGCTGGAACGAGGGCTCTGCGCGCTTCAGCGAACTCGTGTCCACCGCAGACACCCGCAAAGTCTTCATAGATTCCGCCATCCGCCATATGCGCAAGTACAGCTTCGATGGGCTGGATCTGGACTGGGAGTATCCAGCATCTAGGGCTGGATCCACGCCAGAGGATAAGGAAAACTACGTTCTGCTCGTCAAGGTGCGAATTGAGGGGAAGGGGCATGAATTAAGAGGAAAAGGGAAGATTTTTCTTTATAATATTAATGCTTCAAGGCGAATATCTATGTTGAACGTCACGTTGTTATTTGACTGTTGCAAGAATTATACCGGGTATGAAGGTTCTGGAGCCACTGGACTGCCATACTTTGATATCTTTTGGTAAATTGAAGGCTGCTAGTAATGATTTTACTTCTTTCACTGCAGAACACGTCAACGAATAATTAAAAATATTTTGGTTGGTAATCACTGTCTCAGGAATTTCTCATATAACAGTTTTATTGACTTTTTGTTAAATCAGGCCATACACGATTGCAAATGAGCTGCTATAGACTCTTCACTGTGACCAGACCAATGAATAACAGCCACAAAAATACGCCAAGCTAAATCTCTTGCCAGATTTCTCTCGGGAGTTAAATTTGAATAAGATTTCGCTCCGGCTTTTCTCTGCGTTAGGCGTCCAAAAAAAAAAAAAACAGCCAATCAATGACGGCTTTTCCTTGTAAAGCAAATACACTAAAAAATATAACTCAGTACTCACTGCAGTGAGTGACAGAGAGCGCATTTTCTCGTCGACGAAAACGTGAAGTCACGGACGGACGAACAGACAGACAGACGGACGGACAGAAGGACATGGCGAGCACAGTAGTGCATTTTTTCCATAAATGAGAAAATGCACAAAAAACAGACATCATAAGACCGCTCTTCCCTTCGTCAGGCAGGATCTACTGAAGGTTTCTCTGCTGTTCCCCCAGGAGCTGAAGGAGGCGTTTGAGGCGGAGGCGGCGCAGTCGGGGAAGGCGCGGCTGCTGCTGACGATGGCCGTGCCTGCGGGACAAGACACCATCGATAAAGGCTTCGACGTGCCTGCCCTGAACACGTCTGGCTAATCACGCTTCGTCCTTATCTTGCCTTATCTCTGTGTGGTCCTCATCTTGCCTTATCTCTGTGTGGTACTTGCCTCATCTCTGTGTGGTCCTCATCTTGCCTCATCTCTGTGTGGTCCTCAACTTGCCTCATCTCTGTGTGGTTCTCATCTTGCCTCATCTCTATGTGGTTCTTATCTTGCCTCATCTCTGCGTGGTTCTCATCTTGCCTTATCTCTGTGTGGTCCTCAACTTGCCTCATCTCTGCGTGGTCCTCATCTTGCCTGATCTCTGTGTGGTCCTCATTTTGCCTTATCTCTGTGTTGTCCTCATCTTGCCTTATCTCTGTGTGGTTCTCATCTTGCCTTATCTCTGTGTGGTTCTAATGTTGCCTTATCTCTGCGTGGTCTTCATCTTGCCAGATCTCTGTGTGGTTCTCATTTTGCCTGATCTCTGTGTGGTCCTCATCTTGCCTTATCTCTGTGCGGTCCTCATCTAGCCTTATCTCTGTGTGGTCCTCATCTTGCCTCATCTCTGTGTGGTCTTCATCTTTTATTATCTCTGTGTGGTTCTCATCTTGATATCTCTGTGTGGTTCTCATCTTGCCTTATCTCTGTGTGGTCCTCATCTCGCATTATCTCTGTGTGGTCCCCATCTTGCCTGATCTCTGTGTGGTTCTCATATTGATATCTCTGTGTGGTTCTCATCTTGCCTGATCTCTGTGTTGTCCTCATCTTGCCTTATCTCTGTGTGGTTCTCATCTTGCCTTATCTCTGTGTGGTCTTCATCTTGCCTTATCTCTGTGTGGTTCTCATCTTTCCTAATCTCTGTGTGGTCCTCATCTTGCCTTATCTCTGTGTGGTCCTCATCTTGCCTTATCTCTGTGTGGTTCTCATCTTTCCTAATCTCTGTGTGGTCCTCATCTTGCC